ATACACACACACGTACACTGTATGTCTGTCCTATATTCGCATACAGATGAATCTCACCCGGCCGGCGCAGGGCGTTATATACACGATGCCACGTACAGTACGTTGCCTAGCATGGCGCGCTGGGGCGATATGCAATCTGCAGCTTACATATGTCGGGGACCAGAAGCAAAGCGCCTGTCCCGTGCTAAAGTGAATGCAAAACATTGTAGCGCAAAAAAGGATGCGCCATGTATATATCTCATTCGCGCTCGCCCGGAGACTGACATCCGACAAGATGACTTTTGTTCGTCGCTCGCACGCGAGCAACAAGTGCACACAAAGGCCCAACTTGTGTGACTGTGACTGCGTCTATGTGGCATCTCTCTCTCTCTCTCCTCTACCGTCTCGCGAACTTTGCCGTACTAGCGCGAAAGGAGAGCCGTCTTGATAACATTTTCATCGGTGAGAGACAAGAGAGAAAGAGAGAGAGAGAGAGACACCGAACGAGATAAAGTCAGGTAGAACGAGAACGCGAAAGTGTGCCCCTTATTTGCAAGTAGTTCAGGCTAAGTTTGGTCAGACCGGAGTCGCGCTGTATAATTCGCCCCATGACCGCGCAAGCACTGCCGGAAATTCATCGCCGTAATTGCTGCTACTGCTGCTCCCGCCGAGGCATATGCTTTATAATCCCCGGGCTCGCTTGCTTGGCCGAGAGATTTCCGCACACGTAGCGTGCATTATATTATGCATATATCTATATATCAGGTCGCGCGCACAATAAAAGCTTATTTTTTCACGGAAGTTTCGATTAATTATCGCAGAGCGTACACACGTACAACACGTTATGCACACCATCGGCGTACCCGGGGTATGCAAACACACATACACACACACACACCAGCCTAGATAAAATTAGCAAGCGAGGGGTGAAAAAAGGAGGGTGAAAAAACGCGAAGAGAGAAGCGGATAGCGACGTCAATTAAATATTCGATTGGATGCGCGCTCGTTCGAAACGAAACGAAAAAGCAGCAGCAGCAGCTTGTTGCAGTATATACAGCTGCGTTAAAAGGCTCAGCTGTGTGAAATTGTGACTTGTTCGACTAAATGCCAATTCATCCCCAGCGATCGCGAAAATTGTATTATTCCTTTCGACGATGCTGCTCCTACCCAAGCTCGGCGCAGTGCAGTGCACGGAGTTTTTCGCGAGCCGAGTTCGCTCTAGAGTTTGGTCTTTGCAGAACTGAAAATGTATACACCTTTTTGGGTTTTTTAGTTGCTTGGTCGTTGCCTACAGCGAGTTTTTTTTCGTCTCACTCAAGAGTCACTTTAATTTCGATTGAGAGTAATTTAACAGCTAATGAGATGTATGATATACTACCCCCATTCAACGCGCTACACCCGTCTACAATTTGCTCATAGTTAAAAATTAATAACAATTTAACTAATTATGAATACATAACGCATTGTTTGAAATTCATTGAAACATTTGTTCTATAAACATGATTTTTAGCCTGAAAAATTATCTGATTCGAAAAATTATTTCATTCAGTTTGAAACATGATATAAAATAACGAATTTTGGAAACGTGGGCTAACTCTACGACTAATTTTACGACGCCCAATAATAATCCCTGCGCTGCCTACGCAAAACTACTTATGACTTTTTAAGAGTGGTTAAATCAGAAGAAACTTATTTATTTCTGCTGATATCGATTATCCAGCAGGGATGAAGCTCGTATATATATATATGGACGGAAGGGAACGGGGAAGTTACGCCGATCAACCCGAACAAAGTTGCAAGTACGTAAGTTGCAATGACTCGCGTAATTGGTCTTTGATGCTATCTTCCCCTAGAGCTCAGCTCATTAGCCCCGCTGCGCGACGTTTTCTCTTTCTCTCTTCCTCTGTCCCTTATAACGGCTGCTGCTTATCGTTGCCCATTTACATGCGTACATACAGCACGGACTGAGGAGATATAAGGACGTTTGCAACGCGCCAACAAGTTTCTCGCCTGCTGTACACGACTAATACGATGGTTCAACTATGAAAAATGTCCTCCCGCTATTACGAGCCTGTCTCGCGTTTAATAGCTACAGGACTATTCAATTTTCAGCAGTCGCTGCTGTTGCCACTGTTGCTGCTGCTGCTGCTGCTGCTGGAAGATGGAGAGAGCAGATGAGAATGATACAATTGTAGAGATTAGCGCTCGACACAGTCGGAAATTGCTGCCAAATCGAGAGTAACGAATGGATTTGTACTTCGCTCGTGTTGGATAGTAATAGGAAATTTTCGTTAGAAAAGAAAATGAAAAAATAAATCTCTACTATGACAGCATAGAGAGGAAAAAAATGGAAAAAAAGAATAAAGGAAACAACAATTGTTGTCGAAGTCGAGTCTTATTATGGGATCAGCCAGTTATCGATATAGACATGAATACTAAGCAAAAATCTGACTTTTTTCCCCTGGAGGATTTTTTGACAGGATCGAAAACGAATTTTTGAAACAGATGTCGTAAGGTAATTTTGTTAACATACTTGAAAACTATATTGAATTCTCGACAAATGCCAGTATATGTGTTTTTTTCATCGAATCATTGGTAAAAATTCCAAAATTTTATGGCTAGTTTTTGGCCAACGATAAAGTTTTATACATAAAAATACTGTTTCTGTACGGATTTAAACTGGAAATCATGCTTTGACTTATTATAACTATATTTTCACTTTACCACTTGCAGATTCACAGATAAAGATACTCGCCATCTTGTGGTGAAAAGTTGAAGTGGTGTTATCGTTTTTAAAGTGGTTGAAAACTGGTCTGAATTCTTTGAAATGACTAAAATTTCATTTTCCGGCGATTTAAAATACTCTCAATGATTGTAACTAAGTTTTTAATAAAAAATCGCAAATCTAGCTAATAAATGGTTAGGTAATTTAAAGCATTTTAAATTGTCATTTTGGTTCATTAGGCCATTATTGATTTTCATCATATGTACTAGAGTGGGTAAAATGTCAACTCACACGTAAAAACATATGCGTAATACGAAAGAGCTATTCCAAGCCGACTGTGTGAAGTAACAATTAAACTTTGCCTCAAAAACTTTATTATAAGCTACTTTCGGGTCATGTTCAATTTAAAAACTCGACCATAGTCAACCACGTATTCACCGATAGCTATTAAAAAATAATACGAATGAGACCAGGTGATATAATTTAATCGCGTGTGCACCGAGTTGAATGGGGTGTGACACGCCGTAGCATTCACCACTAAAATCAACGACTGCTTCGCACAGCGAGTCAAATTATTTTTCATCGTTTATTTCGTCTCTTATACAACCATTTTCTCTTTATGCTATGTCTACGAATCAAAAAGTCTCATGCGTACTTTAATTGAATTTCGCTCCGACGACATTCTTGAGAAACAACACAAACGCGCGGGGCTGGTTATATATATATACGCTACTGCTCTCTGCGTATATATATTCGAGCTAAGAAAGAAAAACTAAAATCGGAAACTCGGCTCGCGCTCCGAAAGCAAATGAAGACGATGCGGGAGGAGGAAAAAAAGCTTTCGCCGTGAAAGAATGCAGGACCCGAACGAGGACGACGACGACGTCTACGACCAAGAAGGAGAAAAAAAGTACCTTAGCGCGCGCGCTCTAAAATATATACTCTATTGTTTTTGTCGCTACTATATACGGCTTGCCGCGGCAGTAAAGAGAAGAAAAAAAGTCGGGCTTCCTTTCCAGACACTAGCGTGTCTCTCATTGGGTATTTATTTATTTAGGTTTTTTTTTTAATATACAGAATAATGAAGCTCCAAAATCCAAGGAAACGGATCAGTGATTTTTTTTCTTCTCCATATTTTTTTATTTGTGCTGCGCGTGGCATTTCAATGCGAGTAATCTCCTTTCAGCCGCGCATACAGCAGTAGTATAAGCAGCGGCAGCAGCTGATCTAATAGACCATAGTGAGATTGGCTTCATTCGAAACGGCTTAATTACTATCTATCTTTAGCGGGCGGTATAAGCGGTATTGTTCGCGGCCAGTGCCGAGGTCGATCCCTATTGTCGAATTTTGCATTGTACCGTGTGTATACGTACGTCGTGCGTACATGTGCGCCGCTGAGAAAACGTCACTCGGATATCCCACACAGTTAGGTTTATCCGTGGCAGTCGAGCAAGGGAATTAGTGTCAGTGGTGTGCGATCAACAAGATTCGCCGTGTATTACACACGCCTGCAGCATGTAAAATCCACCTCCGAGGTGGGATTTGAAAATGAGAAAAAAAAGGGGGAGAAACGATCTCTCGCTCGAAGCGAAACGAGGATGAGAAACATCACGGGGTGGGCTGATCGAAAATTTCTCTCTCACTCTCTTTCGTCGAGCTCTTTCCGTCGCGCTCCGTGCTGCACGTCGACGCAGACACGCGCGCGGACAGCTGCAAGAGAGGCACAAACATCGGACTAATTTCGCGCGCGAGCTCGCCTGAGAGCAGCAGCTCCGACGTACAGCACAGCGCGCACAGCAGCAGCAGCAGCGAATATTATTATGTCGGTGCTGTGTGCGGACTCGCGTCGGAGACTGACGGCTCCCGTGAGAGAGAGAGAACATATATCTACTATAGGTAGAAGAAGGATGAGGTTCGAGCGCGAGGAGAGCCTGGGATATGGCGTGACGAAGCTGCTGGCAGAGCCGACCTGCTCTCTGCGCGTATCATACCAAGAGTAATGTATACGTAGCATAGACGAGCAACAGGAATGCCGACGAATAACAACTCGTCGTCGATGTGCCCTTTTAGTTTTTCATGCATTGTAGCTGCTGCTGTTATTGTATATACTGTTGCTGTTTATCCGTCGACTCGTCATACGTTATTCCGTTTTACGAGGAAAAAAAAATTACGATTCAAGGAAGCTGTGAGTATGCTTCGCCATGTTGCGGTAATACGGAAACAACGATCTCTCGGGATTGGAGGGTGAAAGAACAGGCAAAAAAATGATACATCGCTGCGGTTGTTGAGTGATTACCTTGAGGAAATAATCAGCGAAGCGGTAGTAGCTAGCTTCTTTCCTTGTATTCATGCATCAGTTTGCTGTTTTATAATTGCTAAACACTGGTTAATTCCAAATTAAACGTTTTTCACTGTAGTCAAATTACGCTTGCACTCTTAACTTTTATAAAGTGTCCCGCGCGGAAAATCGCTTGCCCACGTACATAGACAGGTAGGCTCACTCGCTCGTTCTCTCGCTGTAAACAATCGTCGTCGTTGGGCGCTTACACGCGGGTGTGTTGTCACTGCCACGGCACGACGTCGATCATCCGTAGCTGCGTAGCACAAAGATGGCCCGGCCAGGTGTGTGCGTGTATGTTTAAGGAAGAGGAGATCGCAAGCAATAGGAGAGAAAAGAGGGAGACAGGAATAAATATGTCTAGGGACAGATCGCTCGTCCGACTATACGTGCACACATACGGCAGTCACTTGTAAACTTATTTATTCTATTTATTATAATATTTAATTAAAGTCCACGCACAAGCACAGGTGACAGACAGACAGAGACAGACTGAAAAAAGGGAAAAATAGGGCCGCTGCGAGGAAGATAGAGAGGCCTCCTTGCCGAAAGGAAGGCGGCGCGCGCGAGACGGCAGAGTCGAGATGCTCGCGCGTTTGCCCGGCCACTGCGCCGACGACTGAGAGCAGCCACGCCGCATTTTGCAGCAGCCTCCTGGTGCCGCCAGCACAGCAGTAGCAGCAGCAGCAGCAGCAGCTCCTCCTGCCCCTCTTTTGCCGCGCGCAGTCCCTTTTCGCAGCAGTGTGCGAAAGCAAGGCAGCAGGAGCGCCGCTGCTGAACACCCCCGGCCGCGGCCCCCTACCCGCCAAACTCGCGCTGGCTGCGCTGTGCTGTACGCCGCCACCACCACCACTACCACCACCACTACCACTGCCGCCGCACCACACTCTACCACTACTATTACTAATACTACTACTACTATGACTGTTGATACTACTGCAAGTGCACGTCCACGCGCGCCGTTATATATCTCTTTATTAACGGAGTTGCATTTGCGATTCATACATGTGTATGCGTATCTTTTTGTCGGAGCATGCGATCAATGGAAACGTACGTGTTTAGTAGCGATTACGAGCTTTTTCAACTTCGCGCCCACTTACTGTGGAACCGTAGGAGGGAACGTGTTCTCCGGTTCATAATGATCCTTGCGAGGAAATTCGTCGTACGCACATGTATGTACCTTTTATACGTACATCGTCGAAGCTCCGTCTATCGATGTATCTCGGTCTCTCGAGTTTGACGAGTTTAGCGCGCGCGCGCTTGTTGCCGGCAACGAGCATACACACGCACACGCACACAGGAGAGCGCGCGCAGCCTCCACTCCCTGCAAGCGCGGAAAAGCTCACCCGGCGTATTTCCCCGCTGCACATACACGACGACGACGTGATGCTGCTGCGGCCGCTGCTACAAGTGCGTTGCGCAAGTCCAACCTTATAGCAGCTTTTCTATCTCGCTCCTTCCTCTGACTCTCCTCTCCCCATACACGTCCTGTAAGCAACACGCACACGTACGCGCGCGTACTTACACGTACGATGGCAGCGCATTTATGCTCTTTTTCACGCATTTCACGTATATATACTCCGTTGGCGTATACTTTCATACATACATTCGTGTATTGTGAGCTTTTTTCCATGAGCTTCCGATAATTCAAGTAAGACTAACGAACGACGCGGATAAGCCAGAATAATGTATAGAGATAGACTCTGACGAATCTGATGAGTGACAAAAAGGAAGAGAAAGAAAAAGAGAAATAACAAGCTTCCAGCTTGTGAACTGCATACAGCATTATCCGAGTGCAGAGGCTGCGATGAGCGCATACACATATTTTATTATCTATGGCAATTTGTTTGGCTGACTCTAAATATATTCAATCTATTATTAATTTGAGAGAATGTTTAATTGTCAACAACAGTAGAGAATTTAGAATATGGTGCAGTTTCAATAACTTCGATTCGTGCGACGGTGAGAAGATTTGTGAAAACCTGAAATATTAGGCACTTCTAAATGGACCATTTTTAATTTTTCAAGTATAGATTTGAATTCAGTTCATCTATATTGTATAAACAATGTCATATTGCTTGTCGCTTGTGCTAAATATCTTCTGTGCACTATATGGTTTTTCAGAGTAAGACAAACAAAATGTTCATACAGATAAATCAGCTAAATCTTTTTTAAATTCTAAAAGCTTTGCAAAGAAAATGGATACTTAGATAGAATAAGATTATGTTTGAGAAACGTTGTAAGCGATCCTGTAGAGTTGTAATACATAAAACAGATCAATTGAATTGATTTAAATAAATATTTTGAAAATGGATTAGACTCTAAAATGGATATAATCTAAAATTTAATTTAATTTTCTTTTAACACTCAGTAATTATGATATAATCTCATCTAATATAATTAAATTTGCCCGCATCGATCAACAACCTTGTCCACCTACGCCAGTATAGTTGTCATCGGTAAATTCTGTTCATCCACCAGTCTTATCAATACCAACGTTACTCTGCTAATTAGATAGTATTAGCGCAAATACCCAATTTGAATTTCTGGAAAGCTTAAATAATAGAAATTCGTGATGATTTCATGTACGTTATGTATTATTAATTTTCTTAACCAGGAAAAAGGCCGCAGTTATGATACGAAAATTCTTCATAAATGCAGTGGGATTGACTTCTGCAGAAATTAAAAAACGAATTCTATATTAATGATGCAATGTAATTATTATATTGGTCTTTATTCTCTGTTTCTGAAATCTACGAAAAAAGTAAGAAAATACTATATTAACCTGAGACAGAGAGAGAGAGAAAACAGAGGTATCGTCGAATGTTATAGGGTTACGATAGGCCTATTGCAAGTTCAAAGCCAACGCGTGCATCGCATAGATACGTGAACGTACGCGCTGCAGGGGCGGACACGTTATATCGAGTGATTTGTGCTATAAACTAAATTGAAGCAATTAACTCGCACTTCAACGTCTGTATGCATGGGTATGTACTATCTACCTGCGCATACATAGAGAGAAAGAGAGAAAAGCACGAGCGATAACGACGTATCGCTTCGGGCTCGATCGATGTATACGCGGCATACGTTGCACTAGCAACACCAAAAGTACGCCTAACATATTTCCACCACTCGACAGCCGACCTTCCCTTCTCTCTCTCTCTCTCTCTCTCTCTCTCTCTCTCTCTCTCTCTATTTGGCTCCTTTCCGGACACGGTTCGAAAGGTCAAGGTATATATGCGTTGGTCTCAGCTACACTACTACCACCACTACTACTGCTGCAGCGATACTCGACGGTTAATGAGTTTTTGGATGCTCCGTATAATTAACATATATCATTATGCGCTGCGGTACAAAGATGATAACAAGGGATGGTCGCATCGGACTTGCAGAAGAGATACGTGCTTTGATCCTCGTTGAGAGATAAAACACCGTCTGATGTACTTCATATCCAATTGTCGGTGAATGGAGCGTATAAATTTGGAAAAGTTAGGTCCTCGTGGGACGACCACGTGGAATCCCTACATCAAAGCAATCCATTATTAACGGCGGTATGGACTGTTAGGAAGTACAATAATGACGTCTTCTCGTTTCAAGATACTTAATAACAATTAATTGAGTCCAATTTTGAAGGCAACTTCCTTTTCCCTCTTATTTAATTATGAATCGCGATATATATATCGAAATACGACTAAAAAACATCAACTTGAAAATTAATTGAAAGTATTCTTCGTATTTTTATGATTAAATCCTCTTTAAATGAAAAAATACTCCAAGTCATCGAGAAAAGCTGCCACGCTTCCGATCGTAGTTATGAAAAAATTTTCCCGATTTTTAAAAACTTGGTCAGGGCACACAGCACAATGACAATTCACGTCGGATTTCACAACGAACGTACTTCAAGTATCAAGCGAGACGTATATATACACTTGTTCAAAAAACTTATACTTTTCATTCTCTTTTATATTTTTTTTATCAAAGATCGTATCGGATCGTCGCGTCGGATGCATCGTCTCGCGAGCCTCGTGATCAAGCTAATCAAGATATGTCACGTATTTTATGTAGCACGTGCACGTTTGGCCCTGTGTGTGTATATGACTCGAGATGTTCCTACACACGATGTAATATAAAATATATATCATGTACGAAACTCGCTGACGATGTACCAAAGATGAAAGTAAGAAAGCTGCAGCAGCCCCGCGCGCGTACACGCGCACCCAGCACGTGCACTTTCGGAAACATCCTTTGATATATGGAGCCAGTGGAACACCTATATCGCGGCGCGCCCGTCTAATGCAATTAATCGAATGTCTCGAGGCGCTGCGCCGAAGTTTAATTTATATTACTACGAGCGAGAGTAGTAACGATTACGTTATGCATTACATCCGAATTTACGTGTAACGCGTGTAATATAATTTCCGCAATGCGGATTATATGGCGCGAGTCTAATTATTTTTCGTTGTCTCTGCATAGTAATCGCTCGAAGCTATAAATTTATCCCTGTAGCGGGTGCTCGAATGAAAAAAAATTAGCCAAGCACCGAGTATAAACGCGTGTCAGTCGACGCCTTTCGACAACGTGGTGTGCAATTGCTCGACACGTACTACGCTTGCAGCAGCACATCCTTTTAGTACCCTCTTTATATATGTACGCTCGTCTACATCGGCGCGTGGTATAAACGCGTGGTGGCATGGAGCACGGCGTATGGGATTTACGACTCTCTCTCTCTCTCTTTCTCTCTCCGACTCGTTCTCTCGTCTCACTTATTGCGTGGCGTTTGTCTTTCGAACAACGCGCCATTTGTTATCCAAGCCAAGAATGCCTTTTACGCCTTGTCTTGATTATGTCTTTCGCGCGCGAATCCCGTCCTCCTCTTCCCCCGCCTACCCCATCGATCGATCGTGTACAATACATCGCGTCCTGTGGCACAGCCGCGCGGGCGTCCGACACGGAAATTTGATTTTCTTATAATTACGCCCGCGGCGAAATTGAAAGACAAATGTACATAACATTGGCGAGTCGAGCGGAGTCGCGGCTTTGCGAATTCGTCGTAATATAACTGTATATGAAGGAACAATTAATGGGCAAAACTGCTGCGCATTGCTACCGTTAGTTCACCGTTATACGCTCGCGTTAAAACAAAAAATATGATATAATCACGCTATAGCATATAAGAGAAAAGTTTTCGCTCGCGAAGATGATTTCGTTCGAAATTTTTTTCCTCTCTTTCTCTCTCTCTCTCTCTCTCTCTCCCTTTTTCTCTTTCTTTCCTCTTTTTTTTTTATGATCTCAAACGCTAGTGGACAATATCGCACCGGTCAGCGTGAAAGTTTGAACAATGGCAATTTATATACGAAACGAACTCGGCGCGCTCGCTGCAATCGCCATCAAGGGAGAGCTTTCGACCCGACGAACTTGTTTTGCGACGCCGCGACTACTGCTGAATGCTGCAGCAAACCTCCCACAATGTCTCGCGCGCGCGCTCGCCCCGCCAGTTAGTTTTTCTCGTATTATATTCTCTCGATCTTTTTCTTGCTTTCGCGAAGTTGCGGCGTTCGCATGTGATGAAAAAAAAGAACGGAGAAAAAAATCACATTTATTTAGGTTTCGTTTTATCAACGATGTGCGCGCAACGACAAGTATAAAAAAAAAAAGATGGAAATCAATTTTTCGCTGGATTCTCTTCCTTCGTGTGTCTCGGGCACAGAATCAAATCCTCTCGTTGAGAGAAGATGAGAAAGAAAATGTGTCAATGGAATAAAATTAAATGTGGGTTGGCTCTGATCCTCGGTTGGAAATAGGGGTGAAAAAAAAACAAATAAAAAACGTAACTGTGCGATCGGTTTCTCACGTTTATCGCATAAAAAACGTAACTGCTGCATTTATATCGGCACCGTCGGCTAAACTTCCATTTAAATTAATTCAGCTCTCGTTTAATCGCGGGAGAGTTATGATTCACCGTACACTCTTTCCATTCTAATTTAAATTTTAATAGACGCGTTGAATCTTGTTGAATTTTCGAAACACTTTTTCTGTCGGTATAGAGAGGAAAAGAGAAGTTGAACGAAATTGCACTTGTAAGCTATAGTCGAATTGATAAAAAATATCATCAATAATACGTGATTATTTCAAGACTCTATATTCCGAAGTGTTAGATTGAAGAATTTCATTCACCTGAAGAGAGTATTTTTGGCATGTTTATTGCGTCTATACCTCTTAGACTCGGATGGAATTATTGATAAGTTTCCCCGAGCGATCGTTTCATCGAAATTCTTTCCTGCCATTGCTCAAATTTACGAGCGATGCGTCAAACAATTTTTTTATCTCGTGTGGTATATATCAATCAATACTGCTATATATAATATGCTCTGTAGCTCCTGCCTATAATTACATTTACAATTTGTGCAATCGTTCATTTCCGCTGCATTCGAATCATCGATTTTAAAATCATTTATTTTCCACAATTGAGATCGCAGGGAATTAAAACAATGCGATATAAGCAATTTGTATGTGTAGGAGTTCATCGGAGGGATGAGTAAAAATCACGCAACAACTCGCGTAATTGACACTTATATGCTTTAGCGCTGCTGCTGTTGCTGCTGTGCATGCACATGTAAAAGGGTATACGATATAATAATAAGAGAAACGAAAGTTACAATAGTTATAAAGCCGAAGTGTATGTGCACATAGGCGTGTGTGTACATGCGCGGGCGCGTCGACGTGTAACATCGTATAAGTAATGCACATGCCTCCGAGTTATCTCTCACCGGAGTGCTCGACTAATTAGTTATTCTCGCGAGACATCGCTCGCGCGCGCGCGGGGCTTGCGCGATACATACACGTAGCGCGCTTGCGAGCTTATAAGCAAAACTCTTCCCCTCTTGCGCACCCTGTCAGTCAGTCCAGACTTGCGATGCGCGAACATCGCTATATATATACGATATATACCGCCGTGGCTTTGTTGTTGTGTTTGCTATTTCAGCTGATTGGTAGTAGTAGCAGTAGTGTAACCTGTAGAGACCCCGACAAGCGCCTCTTTATTGCTCTCGCTTATACATGTGGAAAAAAGGAAAACCAGACACGAGCCGACCACGCGGCGGTGGCTGCTTATGTATACGATATAGCAAGATACTACTCGCGTCCGAGGGGCTCATGAGGGCGATGCTATCGTGGACTGCGCGCGAAACTTTGCCCACACACACAAACACACATTATATGTGTATATGCAGAAGTTTGCGTGCCTCGAGCGCATCAGTCTTGCGAGGACGGGCGCGCGCGATATGTGCATGTGCAACTCTGTATATAATATAATGCATACATGTGAAGGTGCTGGGGTGTGCCGTACATGCCTGCAATATAACGTAGTGCAGCTTGCCCGAAAATAGTTTCGACCCTGAACTGTACACACATACTTGTACATGTATACGAATGATAGTTATATTAGGCAGGTACGCCACGTATTTGGAAAATATATAGGCTGCACTGGCTATTGTGTGTAGCTGAGCTACGAAAGTAAGCGTCCGCGACCTTATTATAAAAGTCGAGCTCGCGATTGCACTTGCCGTGAAACACCTTCGAGCTTTTTCTCACTCGCTGTCTCTCTCTCTCTCTCTCTCCCATTACCGAGGCTTTTGTATATCGCAAGCAGATAAGTCGAGTGCTCGCCTGTGTGCAACCCTGCAACGCTATAAGAGACTAATATGCACTTATCGATCTCCACTACCGCCTTGCCAGCTGCCAGCGGCTAAGATTTATTTGCAACTCTGCAAGGTAGCTTCGCGCGGCCACCTACGTACGATGATATATGTACAAAACGATCGTGAAAAGGTCGAATCGCTATAGCGAGTAGAAGCGCGACGTGTTAAGTATATAGCTACTCGAAAAAGCTCCTACACATTTGCAGTATGTGAAATATTCGCGGAAACAAACGAATCCTTTGTTTACAAATAAGGATGATTCTCGAATTTTTTCGTTAGTTAAGTATACCTGTCATGAGCAACAGTCACCTCATGATCGGCTCGTATCTGTTTTTCTTCATTATTTTTTAATCTTTTTATTTGATGATATAAAAAATAAGACAACATTGAATACAGCAGAAACGTAACAACTGAGATTGAAAAATATGCAAGTATCCTTATGTATTTTTTGAATAAAAAACTGGCTATATATTAAGTCAATATTTGTCATAAAATAATTTTATGACTGGACAATTATTTTTAATAAAGTAATAGTCTCATTATATACCATGCCATAAGTCATATTTCTTACCAAAGTAATTCTTGGTAGGGAAAACAAAGCTAGACAAATCAGCACCACGATGCAAGATCATATCGACTACATGTGACAAAAGATTTGCCAGAGCCAATTGAAGCGGTGTCTGATCGTTCTTGTCCCGGAAATCGACCTGCACTGTCTGCTGGGTGTCTTCGTTGATCTTAAAGAATATCTCTACAAGGTCATCATCGCATTCTCTCTGGCAAATAATACGGAGAGGTTTCAAACCCTCTTTGTTGGGCAAATTCGGATTGCTTGCAGACATTTCTCAGCAGCAATTAACCACCTTCTTTTTGCTTTTGCTCACAGTCAAATGAGTCAGGCCTCGTTACTGAAATCAACGACTTCAACCGTATACTCGTCATTTGACCGATTAATGCGCAGCGCGAAAGATACACAACACAACGTTGTGTCGAAATCAACTCTGCGTTATGAAAAACAATTAAAAATGTATTTGTGAACATTATTCAATTCTTTTGCAAACAGCATCTTGTTTTCCATATCCGAGTAGTATATAAAGCATCATGGTCATTTACTGATTAAAAGTTATCAATCACTGAAAAATTGAGCTATAAGTTTACGAGTCTTCGGAATTGTTAATTGTGGTGGTAATACCATATTAACGCACGCGTAATTATCAGCTGAAGCTAAAAAACATGTGCTCTGAGGCTTTCTTTTTTCAATTCATAAGTGCGTATATTTTTTTCAAGAATCCCCCAGCAGGATTAGTTAACTTTATATCGTGTATGGTCCATTCTCTTTGAAATCGAATAATGAGTGATTTTTTTGTTTTCGACGATATTCAGTGTGAGGATCGAGAGTCGAACCCTGATCCTCGTGGTGCAAGGCAAGGCTATACCGACTGGACTTTCACTCGTCAGGCCTATACAAATATACGTATGTACGATCGGAATACATCATGAAGGCTTTTGCGTGATTAATGTTTCCCTCTGTTTCAACCCGTGGCTGCTCTAACTTTGACGTCGACGACACTGACTAATGGCTTACTTAATCGCTGAGCTTTATCGAAGAGTTGCCCACTGCGTTGACTTTCTCTCTCACGAGTATACGTTTAGCCATCATAACGTATATAGCTCCGCAAGCTCTAACGAGCTTTTTTCAATGTTAGTTTGGGGTAGATATAACAAATAAAGGCTGGTAGTCGACTTTTGAATTTTCAAAAAAAATTTTTTTCTTTTTATTTGAAAATTGGTTCGGATGAAAAATGTGTCACTCCTGCACTCGAGATATTTTACGTTACGGCCTCAGCACAGCTATATAGCAACGCGTATATGAAAACTGTTGAAAAATTCAAGACGAAGATGATGATCTCGTATATAACGGCGGTGCTACGCGCGGAAAATATATAGTCGATAATATTCGCGATCCAAAATGCAGTTATTACAATAGCATGATGCGCCTGAGAGAACTCCTCCTCCCTGCTTGGGTGCCTGCCTGCCTGCCTCCCTCCCTTGCTGCTGCTGCGTGCATGCACCCTACATATTACACGGGCTTTCAACTTTGTTTTAAAAGTTTATTTCAAGTTTAAGCTTGGCATGCCTTACATACATACGTACAGGCGTGTATATACTGCAAGGCTACACACATATATACAGTATACACACATAGCAACAGTGCCTTCGAGCACGCCCTAACAGAAATTCAGAACAAAAAAGTTTAAATTAGTTCGTATAACGCTGTACGACGTTATTATATACGTATAGGTACCAACGTAGCACACGCGCGAGCGCATCTCGACGCGAAACGAGTACATCGCGCGCGAGCGGCAAGCAAAACGCCGCCGCTTCTGCTCCTTCTTTGTATCGCGTGGGGCATATTATAATAAGTGCATGCGTAAACTCGGTTACGACGGCATGCGAAACTTTTGTGTGTAGAGGTGTGTGCTCGCACGGGCATATAACAGTAATTTGAATAGAGAGAGAGAGAGAGAGAGAGAGAGAGCGCGAGAAGAAAAGCTTCGAGTGCCAAGCATGTGTGCGCGAGCAAAAGTGCAGAAATGACATTGGACCAGTTTTTTCCTTCTTTTTTCTTTTTCGACGATATAAATGTCGCAATCGCATATACGCGGAAAATCCAGCATTAATATCGTCGCACTAACACACCGGCACATATAATACATATTTCATTATAATATACACGCGATTCAGTCTCTAAAAAAAAGCTCGTCGTTGTTATCGTTATAAACACTCGGTTAAATTTCTTAAATATTTATACATTTTTTTTACAATTAAATCTCGGGGATAAATTTTTTATTTCAATTGACTTTGGTCGCCTCGTAGCCCAAGCAGTTGCCCCAGAATCGGTCCATCGTGTGATAGAGATGCCTGAGCAGGTGGCTGAGCGCGTGCGCCTCGTCCGGATAGCTGACCTGCTCGAACATGATGTCGTTCTCCTCGAGGCTGCGCGCCAGCGCCATCGACTGCTGATAGTGCACGTTGTCGTCGCCCGTGCCGTGCACCAGCAGGAACTTCTTGTTGCGCATTCGCTCGACGCGCTTCATCACCGAGCTATCCTCGTAGCCCTGCAGATTGTCCTCTTTCGTCGGTAGACCCATGAATCTCTCCGTGTAGATCGAATCTGCGAATTGCACAGTCCGTTATATTGTATACACATTCGATACCGAAAAATTGGAATTTCAATATCCGAGCTTAGCTAGATGGAAAAAGGTTCGTATATATGTACCGTAATAAATCCAATTGGTGACCGGCGCCACGGCAATTCCGCATTTGAAGACGTTGCCGGTGTCCTTTGTGAGTATGCTGGCGGTCGAGAAGCCGCCGTAGCTCCAACCCCAGATGGCCGTTCTCTTGCTGTCGATCCAGTCGAACTTTTGCTGCAACTTCCTGTAGAACGAGATTAAATTAGCTGTGCGGTTCAGCTTGACGTTCGGCGAACGAAAAAATGAGCGAAAAAAAGACGAAAGGCAGAGAGATTCTGTATCGATCATCCGACGTACCGTGTGACATTAATTTGATCCTCGAGCTCGGCGGAGCCAAGGCGACGGTAAACCGCGTAGAGCATCTCTGTGCCCTTGTTCGAGCTGCCTCTGCCGTCTATCCAGGCGTAAATGACGCGTCGACTGGTGGTCATGTACGTCTCGAAGCCGACGGAGAAGATATCATTGATCCTTTGGCTGTTGGGACCGGCGTACCTGTGAGAAAATGACCCAATATTGCTTCAACATGTTTCGGCAGAATAAAAATAGAAAATTATCGTATTTATGGAGAGATACCGACACATTGACCAACATGGGATACTTGTTGCTGGCGTCAAAATCAGGTGGTAGCAGCAGTCTGACTTTAGCGTTGAAACCGGCCGACTCGACGTACAAGTCCTTGACCCTGGGCGCGAGACGCTTGGAGATCATGTCGCGCACCAGCCGATTGGCCGACCACGTGTGCAGCTCCTTACGCTCGTAATCGAAGATTCTCGTGGTAGCCGGATCCGGACCCAAGCACGACAGAGCGTAGTGCGAAAAGTCCGTGGAAAAGGACACGGACACGTAGGTGCAATTGTTGCCCTCGGGAGTCTCGATGGTGCAGGATATGCAGAGCGGTGCCGGATCGGAGTCGCGTGGCTTCGACAGACTAACCTCGTACAGGTGCTTCTGCGACGGTTCGTTCGGGGGACTGGCCGTGAAGTAGACGACTCGCTTGAGATCGTTGACGCCGTGCACGGCCTGGACCCACATGTTACCGGGCGTCAGGTCCTCCTCACCATCCCAGACGCCGTCGAGCAGGCGGTAGCGCAGCAAGTGGCCGAACGAGCCAAGCCTGTCGCTCTCCGCGCCGGGCCGCGTGGCGAGCACGAGCAGATGGTCCTTGTCGAGGATCGGCGCCTGCTGAGCGAACAGCACCCAGCCGTGGGGCACCTTCTCGGCGTCCAGCGGTGACCACTGGCCGTTCAGCGAGTAAATGCCCAGATTCGAGACGTTCTGGACGCGATTGGTCCATCGCGCGATCAGCCGATTGTTGTCCAGCCATCTCACCGCGTTCAGGATTGCCTCCCTGTGCACAATGAAATAACTCGTAAAAATTTCGATTGAAAGATCGGAAAATTGATCAAATTCACCGTATACTGTGAAAACTTACGATCCGACAACTTTTACGGGCGTTGGCAGCGGCTTCAGCGTAGAGCCATGATCCGACAGATCGATCAGATTCAAAGTCACGTCAGGATTAGTGGCGCCTGCCTGTAATAATTGAATAATACAGTGCAAATTACATAATTAAAAATTATGTAATTCAAATTATCCCATAATTCGAAGTAAGAATATATTCGAAGTAATTAATATAGATTGTTATGAATATTTTCTAAAATGTAAGTAATTCTCTTCTTTATTAAACGGTACTTGAGTATAGCGGTTATAACCGCTAGATGGCGCGTGGCCGAATTCTCTAAAATCACAAGAGAAGAAGCAAAGCTCTAGTATACGTAAAGTCAATTCGTGATGAAAATTCATTCTCTAGTGCTATTCAATCTATCCATATTTATTATGAGAGAAAGAATAAAAAAGAAGCAAGCAGCAACTGTTTTATCTCTGTGCAAGTATAAGTACTATTATAACTGTAGACTTGGCATCGGTATGTATAGAAAAAAAAATTGCAGTAGCGCCTAGCGCGCGAGCAAACTTTTATGCTTCGTTAAAATTGCTGTAGAAAAGTATACTCGGGCGTCCACTCGCGGAAGATCGTTATGACGCTCGTCGTCGAGTTAAAAAGCTCTAAAAGAGCATTTAAAAGATATTGAGGGTACCGTTTTAAATTTCTTTTTTTTACTAATGCATGTAAGGATCACTTTAAATAAGAGGGGAGTGAAAGAAGTAAAAGAAAAACTTATAAAAATCAAGTAGAGCTCGACAATATCGTTAACGCTTTCTGATGCTTATTTTACCTTGGGATAGCGAAACTTATCCTCGGTGGGGTATTGATTTTTCAAATCGCCGGGATTGCCGTATCGCAAGATCACGGCTTCAGGCACTTGCGTATCGTTAAAGGTGGCGAAAGCGAGATACTCGCCGTTTGGCGCGAACCACAGTGTCTTGTCGCTGCCGAAAACTTCCTCTGTTGAAAAAAAAAAGAAATGTCAATCGATTTTGATCGATGATCATTTGTAATTTTATAATTACGTTAATGTGAAAAAACACTTTATTGCAATCCGCAGTACCTTCGTAAACCCAGTCGGGCACGCCATTGTAAATCTCCTGTAATTGACCGTCAAAAGTGACTCGGCGTGTTTCCCACTTGCTTATTCGTTGATAGTAGATATCGTTCTTGAGCACGTAGGCGAGCGAGCTGCCCACTGGCGCCCAAATGGCCGTCGACAGGAGCTGCCCATTGGCCAGTGGCTTCTTCGTTCTGCATTTAATCGATCGCGATTCACGATTACCAATCTCGTATCTTGTAATATATGTAAAACGAAGCGTATTATAAGGAAATCTGTGTAACTCACTTGTTATGAAGGTCGTAGACGTGGTAGATGCTTAAAGACGAATGCCTGTAAACCTACCGAAAGCAAATCGTTGATCAATTATTGAATATTGCAAGTTTTTTACATAAAATAAATGATTTTGCATGAAACACTTACACTTTCACTAATGTTGCGAATCAGCACATAATTTTTGTCAGGCGATAAAATGAACCTGAAATTTCCTACAGCGTCCTGCGAGGAAAAACGAAAATAAATCGGTTGAAAGCGGTATTTTTACAATAAATCGTTATAATAATTTTTATTCTAATTGATTCATCGCGTCGATGAAACGAGTAACCTGTGCGATTTTCGCAGTTTCCGAGATTGTTGTCCGAAGAAAATGTTTCTTTTTTCAGTAGAAACAAAATTAAATTAACGAGCTCTGTTAACAAGAAAATTTGAAGCTTTGGTACGAATTTTTATACTTTTTTGATAGTATAGCTCGAATTGAACTATCCAATCATTTAAAAAAATTTTTTTACCGACCAACATATACATTATGCGAAACATAATATTCAAACTTCATTTATGTATGGGCTAGACCACTTTTTACAGCTTCTGCTAATTTTGTAATTTGGTATGATGTATAAACTCATAGTAAAAATCGAATTCCCAAAATTTGAGTCTCTACCTCTCTGATTTTAGGGATATTTACTTATTAATATAATTGCCAAGAGTAAATAGTTAGTTTGAAAATTCATCTTTTGGCTCAACACGTTTGACGCGATAAGTCCCATATACACGTCGTATATTGTAGTATACCGAGCGAGGTAACGATATTCGGCCACGGACAAACTTTGGCGCACAAATCATCGAAACGAGCGCAGACAATGTTTCCGCCCTTACTCCCATTTTCTTCTCTTTTTTATACCTTCTCTCTCGTTCGCGAATGGAGAGATGAAGAGAGAAAGAGATGGAAAAAGGCCTGCGCGTACGCGTTTTGGCAGCAAAACTATCTTCGTGCCAAAGCGTAGATTTTTGCGAAATTGCGATTGCTCCATTTTTTTCCTGCGCGCGAGTTGTTTGGCTGCTGCTGCAGCGACTGCATAGCAATCGCAGCTGACATTACACATAGAAAACGAGCTCTCGTAGCCTCATGTGCGAAAGTGAAACGAGTTAGTTTTTTTTTGTAACTCATGCCTTTCGCGAATTTACGATCGTTTAAGTGCTTATACTGCAAAAATACGCAAATAACTCACGAAAATCTTGTCGGACGCGATCTCCTCCGTTGTCTTGCTCGCCACATCGTACTTGAGCAGTCTCTCGTCGACCCGATAGAATATCTCCGTCTCGGATATCCACGTGCCGTTGAAGCCCTCGCCACTGAAGGAAGTGGCGATCACTTCGTCGAGCGCGTACGGTCTTTTGCTGGGTTTCGGGGTTGTGCCATGATCGGTCGATCGACCGTACACTAGCGACAATGTCACTATTAGGCACAATAGGATGATCTGCAAATACATCATACGATTATTGCATACGAGTCAGATTAGTCGATTTATAGTGTACATTATATATGCGGACCAAGAGATCGTTTCTGACCGATCGTCCGCGCGCGCGTTGGCCTATCTTTTTTTTATTTTGCGCTCTCGAATTATATAAATATCATATATTATTTACGGTTTGAATGTACCACACTGATTGAAGCGAGAATCACTTGAAGCCTGTTTTTTTTTAACCACGGCCAATTTATTCGTAGGGTCATCTCGACGGGTATTATACGATTGATCCAAACACCGCAATTTTATCAATACGATTGTATTTTCAATTAAATATTCATAGTGAAATTGAACGTGACAATTAAACAAGATCTTTTTTATTTTCCGTTCACGTGCGAGAATGCAGTGATCGTTGCTAAAATAAATCCGAACTGTCACATATACGTATCTTATCTTTCGCTCTCAAACGAGCCTTATCAATTGGCAATATAAAGCCCGCGATGATAAACGTATTAATGAGAATTAGGTAACTTTTATTTATAATTATAAACATGTATTCATCGTAATTGCAAATAACATTTGATTGAGCCATAGTCCTTGTGCCTAATAAAAAAATTGCAATCACACTTTCTGCTCGATGCGTCGAATGAATGGTAAAAATTAAAAATCAAAAATAATAAAAAAAAATATTTCGAATAACGCAATCGATTAAAAGTTAATCGCCAATTTCAGAGCGACGTAATTATACGAGGCACTTGGAAAATTATTACGATGCACTCTGCGCGAGTCACGCAAAAGTACAGCTTTTTTATTGTACACATTTGGGTAATCAATCACATTGCGGCGCTCGGATTGCCTTAACGTTATTTTTTATTTGCGAGCATGAAAATACAATTTTCTTTTATCCGATCTAAAAGCACGTCGAATGGAAAAATATATTGAAAAAAAATGCGTAACGCAAGTAAATAAATATATACCTCTCGGGCAAGCATAGCTGCGTTGCGTGCGATGGTCTCGTCGCGGTGAATCTCGACGGGCAACTATGTGTACGCGCGCGGCTAGTCTATATCTAAAACAGGAGGAGAGACGGTTCGACTGCACTCGAAACGGCTCTCTGCACCGACTGGTTATTCCTTGCGTGTTTTTTTCTTTTCTTTCTTCTTTTTTTTCTTTTTCTGTTTTTTTTACCGATTTGTCGCGGGCACTCGGCTATATATACCCGAAAGATCGAATGGTCGAGCCGCGTGTATATACATACAGAAGTCGTCTTTCATGTATACATTACACACTGCGAAGTCATTACGAGGCAGTAGTCCGTATAAGTGTATTTAGCATCATCGGCGCTCGTGACCACTTTTTTATAACGTCTTATATACGCGCGGGCGATTGTCTATAACGTTTACGTAAGTACGGCGACGACGACCGATTCGAAACCCCCCTACCTCTCGTTCGCTTGCCCATATACGTCAAATAATCTGCTTTCCTTATTTTCTCTCGTCATTGACATCCCCCGAATGAAAATATTTTTCACGCTAATCACCCACCAAAATGTCTATTATCGATATAAACCAAGCCTTTGACACATGTCATTTTTACGATAACGAGCTATCTTCTCCACGGGTAGGATGGTCTTATACCGACTCTTTAGCAGTTTTGTTTTCAAAATCATGCCCGTCTGTATACAGATATGAGATCTTGTTATGAATTTCGGCGCTATCGTCGAGACAATGACTCTTTGCGATGAATTAATTCGCGCTGTAACGTCGAACGAACTCGAAGAAATGCGTGGTCGATAGCATCTCTCTCGAGCCGATTCGAGGAGCGCATTTAACTTTCTGTACGTGCGCTGCGCCAATAAACAACTGAGACTGTCGACCGGAGTGAAAGACCGTCCGCGTATATGGTGTACTAATACAGATAGAGAAGTCGCTACAGCGCAAATTTATGCACGAGCTGTGATTGTTACAAAACAATTACTGCGTGCACTCCGATCAACGGCCCATAAGCTCCCTGACTCGAATACAGTAGCTGTATATAGTGTATGCGCGTAATCGTGCGTGCAAATCGTTGCGTGCAGCTGCAACTCGACTCCCTCGCCAGCGCGCCGAGCTCATTTTTCAATCTTTATCAGCGCGCGGCTACATGAGAGCAGAGATAATAAATAAAGTGCGTATGCTAATCCGACTCACAATATTATATTTTATGAGTGCAAAGTCATTATTATTATATAAGTCGAGTTTGCTATACTTTGACCGGTTAAATCTGCCATACGAGTTTGCCAATTCAGACGCATCGTCGGTATTGTTTTGTTATTCTCGCAAGAAAGAGAAACATATCGGGCTGTTTGATTAAAATCGTGCTACAATCAAAGACGATTGTAACGAGATAATATAATATGTACAAAATATTACTCATTGCGAGCAGTTTGCTAACATTTCGAAATCGGCCCATCTTCGTTGCCTTATATGCACGCTCGCGACATCTACTGCTTCGAGTTCTAGTCATCTTTATTCAAGAATAAGAAGAAAGTGAGGCAGTTTTCTTCTTTATCGCTAACATAGTACGGTATATGTGTGGAGCTCTGGCAAAACACGCAATATTCTACAGTGATAACGTACGGACTCGCAACGTGACTTTGACAGTTCGGGCACGTGTAAACTTATAAGCGTAACTCTCATCAAACCGGCAGTATATATCCACACCGCATTCGATGACTAAAATTATCAAAAGTATTATGCATTAAATCCGATGAAAAAAATTATCAAAAAGGAACAATTATAAGCGAAGGATTTATTTTTCTCTTGAGAAAAAAAGACTCCGTTGGTGACTACTAGCGGTGATGGTTGAACTATCAAAGGAAGTATAGAGTCACTTCGATTTCCAACGACTACAAGCCATTATTATTTTTCTGATTATGAATGAGTTTCAATTATTGAATGTAAATTTTGATTTCTCAACACTCATCGTCAGCTTTCCGGAAATTCTATTAAAAATTCTTGACGTTTATATAAAAATTAGATCACAAACTACAACCACTGTTCAGCGTCAAAGTAAATTTCATACGAACGAACGCCTACTCTATAAAGGTTATCGTGCAAAATTACATACAATGTCGTTATGGTAATATTCGTGATTATGATCTTTACATTCATTCACAAATCTATTTTTTACTCTCGGCTCGAATTCACAGGTCTTGTAACGAGAATAGAGACATAGAAACGATTCAAATTATCATTATCATTGTACTTGGTAAACGCATTCATGCAGTGAAGACGCGTTGTAACTCAGTTGCAAGCTCGCAAGTTCATCAACATGGAGAGAGACAAAGTATGGCTTGTACGTGTGTGTATGTGCGTTGCGAAAAGCAAAGATATAAGCTTTCTCTCTCTATATCTTTCTGTACAGAACCGCGTGAAACTTCTATAAATAACGATACTCGGCACTCGCACGATATATATGACGCTGCGAGTATATAATTTCATGCGTCCGCGCTGTAGCGAACATTTTGATTAAGTACCTTTTCTGTTCACTCAACCACGTCGAGCTTAATCCTCCCTCAATCCCTCTCCTACTCCCTTTCACTCAAAAAAGAGAGAGAGAGACGGAGACTCCATTATGATTCGTATACAAGGGAAATTTTGAATGAATGCAAATTTATGTAAGCTCTCTTTCTCTCTCACTCTGTATGCTGAGTATGTGGCACGTACGTGTGCAACATATACATATATATACCGATGCTTGCACGTAGCTCGAGAAAGAAAACATTATCAACTCGGCTTGAACTTTATTCCGAATGCTTTCTCCTCTCTCGAGCTTGCGTCCCGCGAATCAAATGAAATTTTCAATTTGCGTGTACGCACCGGTACAGGTACACGGAGAAAAGCAATTTGGAGGCTTTTCAAGATTAATTTTTACATTATACTTGCAAGCGTGTATGAGAGTCGTGTATTTCCGCAATGAATTGAGCGTGTTGACTCTCTCAAACTTTGTCATTTATGAAATTGTTTAAATTCGTTAGAATGGTAAAGATAAAGTGAAAAAATACGTTAAAGGGCTATTTCCTGAACAGCGAAAAAAAAACACAAAAATTAAAAAAAAGAGAAAAATATAAAGAACTTGTAGGCCATGTATGCACTCGATGTGCATAAACGTGCGAGCTTGCGGATCGAACGTGTCGCGTGCCGGTTTCATCGAGCACTCACGCGTCCTGGCAAGCGCATACGTACGTTACCATGGGCACCGAACAAGCTGCGCCGCTGGCACGCGAGCCATCAACGACGACGACGACTACGTCGACGAAGCTCTACCGCCTCTGCCCTCCTGCGAGGTACTCCTTCTTCGAGGCGAGTGTGTGCGGCGGCTTATACACTACGTATCGTGCGCGTCTTGCGGATCGACCCTCACGCGCGTACGTATCACATCGTATTATACATAGTGCACCGAGCGCGTCGCTATCAAGCTCGCTAAACAATTATAAACTCCGGAGTCGAGTATTATAGTGCTTGCATACATATAGGCGCTAATTGAGTCTTGACTGCGCTCTCTGCAATTTTGTGCGCCAGTTATAATAGAACGCCTGTTGCCACCGCGCGAGGATGCGTCAATCAACGACCGATCGTACTCGATGAAGCACACGAGTTTATACGCATAGTGCGATGAAACAAAATTGCATCAGCGCGTTGTTATAAATGCGTGGCGTGAAAATAGAGAAGAATGTCGAGACGTTTGTACAGAAGTTCCGAGCTGTCGCGGCCACTGACGGCCGTCAGCTCAGCCCGTCAGAAGTGTCCGTCGCAAAAGACCGTGTGCTGGACTGACCAGGTGGAAGAGGCGATGAGATCGAAGAAGCTTCACGATTACGAGAGGTTTCGGAACGAGCCGGAGAACAACAAACTGTGCGATCGTCGCTCCTTGGCTCGGATTTCGTACTCGGGCCTACCCTACTACGGACCGGCTACTTACGGCAGCTCCTTTGACTTCTCGCCTTGTGGGTATAGCAGCATTATTGTACAGAAAAATATAAATATTTTGAATCACACTGCACGATTTATTGCTCGCTTTTCACACAACACAAGGAGCTTTTTTAATGAAAAACACTATAAAGTATGACATTGTTTCTAAATTAATGTTAACTTTAACTGTGCATTCGTATCACAGTAATCGTTCCTTTTGGCGACTCTTTTTTTCACATGAGGTCATTATCGTCATCATAATTGGTACATGTATCTATCTCATTATTCGCAATGCTTTTACACCAAGCGCACTCTAATTGGGTGAATTATATCAATTGATTAATCATATGCTTTAACAATTAGATGGCATGCGTCATTATTATACATTATATAAAAATGATTTTAATAATTACTTGAATATTTTCCCAAAAAATTTGGCAAAAGGGGGTAGACGAATCATTCCAAGACTTCGCAGCTATTATCGTGTTTGATTTTTTTTCTTGGTTTTTTTACTTGATTTTTTGTTTTGAATCTATATCTAAAATTCGCCACGAACGTTATGTTCTGTGAGCGAATCAGGTTCTCTGTACGCGGACAAAGTCCATTTGTAAGAAGATCACAGCCCTCGGTGGGGTAATCACAGGTTTAGCCTGATGTGTAGACGTCGTTCAATGACGAAATCGTTTCGATATTCGTCAATGTTCGTATCCGTCTTGATGTTAATTTTTCACACGACACGCGTTGTTAATAGCACACGAACACTGGTTAGTTTACACGATGTTAATTGATATAGAAAAATAAACACGCTTTTTTCTTCGTATAAACATATGAAAATATATATTTTGGATGGAATGTTTAGTTATAATAGCCCCGAAATGATGCAACGGTCCGCTACCCCGAAGTGTTGATGGAACGATTGTTTATATATACGAATCGAAGGACATTTTCCGGCGCTTGCGGGAAGTCAGCGTTCCGCTTATTTCTGGGAATGTAACGTGACTTTACTCTTTACGAATCGATCTGTGCATGGCACAAAACATTCTGCATCACCTATATTGAATATCATATACCCAGATAATCCATAAAAAATATAAGGACGTCTAAAAGTTGATTTTGACTAATCTCAAATTGAAAAGCCATCTAGACGCGTAATTGTATACTTTCGATAATTTCGATCACCATTTGTAAACGTATTTGTCAGACATACATTATCCATAATTGACCTAAACATTTTATTCTTTATTCTTGAGCGTAATCAAGTAAGATAAAAGATGGAAGATGAGCTAGAAGTCGAAACCTGCGTCTAAGCACGTTGCACGCATGAAGCTTCGACTAAATGCAGTTGAGTGATGTACGTTGTAGCTCTCGCGTGCCCTACAGAGTCTCGCTTGCCGCTCTGATTTTTTTTTTCATACAAAACACTATAAAATGACATAGATTCTAAATTAACGCCAACTCGACGAGCCGCGCGTTTGTAAGACGATATTCGTCCCCGAAAGCTCTCGAATGCAGACAGAACGCACACCTCTTTGTAATTGATAACAGCAGCTGAAAAGCGAGCCCACGCTCGCGGCGAAGCATCCGCGTATAGCAGCAAGCAGCGCGCTACCTGAATTATGGCAGAGCTGTCACTGCATGTACATCATCGCGCCAACATAGATTACGCCGGCTGTTCGTTGCACGCCCGTGTTATACAGCGAAAATATATTCCTATTTATACGCATATAGGATGAGTTACGGTAGCGATGCACTCTTATATATATGCATGCGCAAAAATCTGCAAAAATATAATATCATTTGTATACGCGTATATGACGCGTTTGACGTGCGGTTCTTTTCGTCTTGGTCCACGTGCCACCTCCCGCGTATTATATATTATAATAGTTTTGAGGCTCGCGTACGACGTGACTGTGGCACATATCATACTAGGCGGATCAAGTTGTCGAGAGAGGTGTAGAAGAAGAGATAGAACTATAAAGAGTCCAGCCGTTAACACTCGGATGCGTGCTTATAATTTTTGCTCGACTTTAGCGACGCGACTTACCTATATAATATGATATATCTATATCTAGCTTACAACAGCTGCGGCTGTGTAAGTTTATGTGTGTATGTGTGTGTATTTCAACGCGGCCGCCTTTACCGGCTGGGTACGATATATGCTGTGCGTGCAAAACTGAGACCTCGCAATATTATACCAGTTCAGTCTGTCCGTCTCCGATCTCGCATCTCGACACTCGGGAATCGTCTCGAGATCGTCGCTTATAAAAATGTGTCGTTCAAGTGTCTAGTGATTTTATTTTCATTAGTGAAATTATTGAAAAATTTTGTGTGTGAATAAATGAAAGGAAATTGTTTCACTAGGAATTGTGAAAATTGTATTGTAATTTGAATTTTTTAATGACCATTTTTTCGTCGCCGGAAGCTTTGCGAAAAAAATTCCTATTAAATAGATATCCCAAAAAACGTGTGCTCAAGTCGTATATTATTAAACTCAATAAGCGGAAACGAACGATTGGGCGAGAATCAAATTCAACGAATGAATTTATAATCTAGCGTATTTTCTTGTCACGACGGTTCAAACGCAGAAGAAGAACTCAAAAATCGAAATCGAATTTTAAGCTTTCCTGCACGTTATATTCATTTATACAAAGAAGAAGAAATATTGGCATCGACCCAAGGATATTCCTTACAGGATATATAATACCTATCGGCAGGTGTACTTGGGCACATGCAGCGTTTAAAGGTTTTCTCTCGACATGCTCTCGGTACGCCGTGCACATCTATCTTCGCCGATTATCAGATCGTTACAGTTTTAATGTAGCTTTCCAACAGTGCGTGTGCGTGTGTGTGTTTGTGCGCGCTTCACGTGTACATCGTATAGGAAAATTAATAGCGCGAAACAATAAGCAACGAGCCTTATTAACAAAGGCAACGAAGGAGCCAGAGAAAAGGATTAAAATCCAGCATGGTGTTCTTCAAGCAAAAAAAAGGAGATCGTCGCCTGTTGGCCAAAAGCAACGAAGTCCGTAAGGCCCAAATCAACAAGATCGCGCAATACGATAATGGTACATAGTCTTTATTAACATAGAAATATTCTGTAATCGTGCGGTCAATATACTCAGGAAACTGCGGGACGGCGGAGCTTAATAAAGTCGAAAAAATAAAATAAAAAAATAAAAAATGATCGCGATGAACTCTCGACCCGATGGAACTTTCAAGACGGGTGTAAGGAAGATGAGTCAAATGCTGATTCGGGCAAATTCGAAATATATCTCGCTCAGAATTCGAAGAAAACGAGCAAGTATAATATCATTAGAGATGCTGTCGCGCATTAAAAATCGAGAAGCGAAAACTTTGTAATATCGTGTGCAACGAGCAGACGAACTAAACCGCTCTAAACGTTAGTGCCCTGGTTAGTACCAATAGTCCGCTTCTAATCTCGACAAACGTCATTGTGAAAAAAGGGAAAGCCCGAGCATTTCGCGCCTCGGTGTAGTGGACAAAGATGGAGCAGACAAAAGGTCGCTTTCTCTCTCTCTCTCTCGCGCCTCTTTAAGAGACAAAACTTTTAGCTCGATTAGCAGGGCAAACTGTGCTAATGTCGCTAACGACGTGTATCTATTGCAAGAGCCTCGACGTAAAACACGCGCGTATATTTATGTTACGGGCAACCACAGACACATTAAGTGTTTATGTATTGCGCGCGGGGGAAGCTTACATACCCCGAGTAACTTTTCAAAAGTAGCGATGATAGTAATAACGTTGTTTATTCGACGGCTTACGGTGCGTCGATGATGAGTATCCCCAGAGCAGCTAGATCTGTAATATCAGTTTTGAATCGCGAAGAGCAGAGGCGATGATCGTAAAAGTGTGTATTAACGAGGGAAAAATATATGTGGGTGTACGCGCGCGCTCTATGTGTGCCGATCGGCTTTCGAGTACACAAAAAGCAAAAGATACTATTTTTGATATCGAGAAGCCTTTACAATTCTCGCCTCATCTCGACTTTGGACTATATAGCATTAATCTTGATACCCGAGCTTGCCTAGCGCGTATATAATATCCAATACTCGGACGTGGGAAAAATAATAAAATATCCCGAACGAGTAAGCTCTCATATTTGGGCTGTCAGTCAGAAAAGATTGTGTTTAAAAATTTTGATATATAATTAGGCGAGATACTGCGAATAAATGGTTCCCTCTCTCTTTTCTACATCCCGCGCATTAGGAGCTTTATAAAGCGTGACACTTGTTTGTAAAAAGAAAAAACACTTGGACGATGTTTTTTTTTCAAACTCGCGAGCCAAACAAACTTTGGCCTATGCCGTATCTCGCCGCGGAGCGCGATGAAAAACAGATTTCCTCGAATTTCGTTAAAATACACATGTGTACTACGTGTGAGCTTGCGCGCGTGCGGTTCACCACTAGGTATATGATAATAATGGCTTTACAACAGCACGTGTATATAGCCATGATCTACAATTCGCGATAGGATTAATAGTTTTACGGTACATCGTTGCGTTGCCTGCGATCGCGACCTATTTAAAACCGCGTAAAATCTGATATGTAATTTTTGATCCCTCCACCCAAGGCATAAGGGCGTACTACCTCCATGACAAGGGTAAAGAATTTACAGAATACCACCTGTAGCTACTCCGGTAATCGATGAACTGTCGATTTAGCTTGTAATATAGTGCCAGCTCATGATCGGCAGCGGCAAACGAAGCACGCTCCGATCATTACAACGTATTATCCACGATTATTTTCATACCATGCGTTGGCATTGAATTCAGTACACTGTAATGATAATAATTTATAACGCGCGTTACGCTTTTGTTTTTCAGCGGCTTACATACAGAGCAGGGACGCGCTGGCTAATGTCAACGTGAGTCAGGACAGCGATGCGCCGACAGCTAGCCCGGAGCCACCGCGTCACGGCGTCGACTTGATCTATCTCGACGCCTACTTGGGAGATGCGTGGCTCAAGTCAACCGTACGTCAGGTAAATTGTACACGCCAACGATTTTGATTTTGTGGGCATGTGCGGGGTGCGTGCATTGTACGCACGAGTGGATAGATTATCACGCCCGATGCATGCATTTATATAGCTGCGTAGCGGTGCGCTAAATTGCCGTAATGAATATGGAAATTCTACACGCGCGTGGGGGATTCACGTTTTAAATAAAAACTTCTGATGTATTTTAGTTGGAATTGTTTCGATGGGGGTTTTCATATTTTCAAATCATTCTACTTGCGGTCACGTTGATGGAAGGTAATGTGACCTACAGAAAACTATTTTATAAACTAGAGAGTATTGATTCAGTCAAGTTTCTATTGTTGTTTTGATTATAAAAGAATTAATTTTATTAGTATTTTTTAACATTTTTTATACATATTTTGAGTAATTCTTGATTGCTCGGCATTGTAAAGTAATGACTATAAAATTTTTTTCGTACAAGCTCTTCATCGACAGTCGACAAATTTACTCGCGAATTATTTTTTTCTTGTTCATCTGTGATACTTTAATAAAAATTAGACCGCAAACCAAGTTCCACTTTATCATTCCACGACAAAGTACATTTTTGAACAAACGCTTATTCATCGCGATCCACGCGCATAAACATACGATATATACTCGAGAATACACTCGCGTCTTTCACGAGTATAAAGTGCAACGCAAAGTAAGAAAAACTTCAAAAGCCAGCTTGTCATCGTCGTTGTTGTTGCGCATGCATATAGCTATACATTATTAATAGCTCAAGAGGGTACCCACATTCCACATGCAAACTGTGTACGATCTGTGTTTTCGCGATTCAAAATCGTCCTCATACTTGCGTATGCGTGTTATAACGAAATACTTTTTACATTACGCTATATATGCATGCATGCATGCGTGCGACGCTACGAGAAAGACATCGCTGAATGTCGGGTGGAGAATATTCCAGGCGCGCGGGAATACGTATGTACGGAATGTTTGAAATAATTAAAATCCGCCCATACTCTCGCTTATGTCAACTCTTGTTTATTTATAACGACGTCGTTTTTGACGTCGTTACTCATTATTAAAATATTAGACGGAATTAGACGCGACTTTAGGGATTTTGGAGAAAAAGTATCACATTTCGATGTATGATTAACGGGCTCTTCAATTTTTTCTGACCATGTTTTAGTTACGTTCCAAGCCGTATAAAAACATTGTAACAATAACAAACTTCAGTCCCGTCAATCAAGCTTGACATTATTCAACTTCGCACAGATTAATTATTATTTGAACGTCCATCGACGATGCGGCCAAAACACACACATAGGTCTTATACTCCAGTTCAAATGGAATATTTCGTCGCTTTGAGAAATAGAAAAAAACAAAAGAAAACTCGACCAAATTGACGCGGACGCGCAAAGAAAATAGTTTTCTGGCGGACATACCGATTATGCCTCCGGTTCGCGCGCTCAGTGAATCTATCTAGCACGCGAAAAATGCAGGAAAAAGATAATAATAGTCGGGGGTGGTATATATGCGTGCCTTAAGCGCAAGACGATTATAGAACAATTCAACGGTCAGTGTAGCGTGGCTCGTCCATCACTTAAAATGACGTAAATATCGCGCGCGAAATGTGTACGCTCGCACACTTGCGCGAAGCTTGCGATCTGTATACGTACGCCTGCACAAGCGTACTGTTTCGTGCTTGTTCGCCTATATACCTATACTAAGCGCGTCGCGATTAATCATCGTGCTCGATCGTCTTGTACAAAACGGTGCTTCGCGACTGTCGACGAAAGAAAAAAGAAGAGAGATGAAATTTGTTCCTTCGTCGCACTTAATATACACAACAGCCGAAGAGCGCGAACTCAAGCGAGGTGCGTAGGCGTGAAGAAGTTTTAATTTAGAATTTCTCGATCGAATCGAGCGGCGCAAGCTCTCGCTTGCTTTCTCTTTCTCGCTTGCTCTACCGGCTCTTCAACCCCCGCGCGCCGACGTCACACAGTTGATCCGACGCTATCGACGTGACCGTATGGACTATCTTGTTACATACCGTAGAGACGCTTATTATTTTAATACTATCGGTGACAGAAAAAAAGTAAATAAATAAAAACAATTTTCGCGCGACCAACATTTCTACGTTGTCGACATCATCATCATCATCATCATCATCATCATCATGACGGAGGTGATGGAGGTGATCAAGGGCATCGAAAAGCCGAGCTCCGACGACGAGGTATTGTAAAGTGTTTGTACAGTGTTGAGTGTTACATGCCAGATGAATAATAGACAGACGTACGGACGGGCAACTGGGACAGACGAGTGTTTAAGCCCGCTCGCGAGGCCGGCCAATATGCGATTCGCGCAAGCACGGGCATGTCCGGCGAACACAGCTGCTACTGCTGCTCGCGTTTGGCGCTCTGATCTCGATGACAGGTGACACATAAACGCCCTAGTTTTTTCCAATGTGCACATACACACCAAATATCACAAGCATTCGTTTGTTTTTTCTTTTCTCTCCGCTCTCTTAATATTACAACAGAGATACAACGCGTATTAGAATACGAGAACCTCAATTTTTCTTCGTTTCTAATTTTAGACCCTTCTTTTCTTGTGTTTCGTTATACCTTTTCTTTTTTCTTGACGAAGAGCGCACGTGTCGATGCGAAGGTTTGCTCGTTTTTCGTAGGATTATAATGATTGAAAACCGACTAATGCGCGACTTATTATTAATTAGATTATTAATTCGAGTTGCAGCGCGCTTGTTTAGCGAGCTTTTCTCGTTTTTTTCCGAGTGGGTTGCGACTGATAATCTGGCTATCCGGTATTTCGTTAAAATTTTTTAAATAGACTCGGCAGACACTATAGATTCTTCGCCGGCTATAGCTTCGTCTATAATTAAAATTTGTCCATCGAGAGACACGAGAGCGATCGGTTATTCAAGTTTTATGAATCGATTTTTAGAAATAGACACTCTGTAATTTGTAGCAGTTTATCGAAAAATTTTATGTTATAATTTGCCTAACTGATATAGAAAAGAACTTACACTAGCTCGATGCAACCGTGCCTTTTTGCGATTCTCTCTCCCTATCATTCCGATCCCATTATCATGGTCATAAACAACGAGTACATGCATCTATCTCGTTATTGAATTCGCAATACTTTTGCATAGCTTTGCTACAAGTGCACTCGAGTACGTAAATTACGTCAATTGATTAATCGCAAGCTTTCACAATTACATGTATATGAGCAATTCCGGAATTTAGTTTCGAATTTTTCGACTAAAAACGGAACAATTTTTTTTCGTTGGACGCATACTTTGAACATTGAGTATTGTTCTTGAAGGTCCTAGGAAGCTAAAAAAATGCGTGAACAATCGAAATTTTAATAGGTAATTTTTTTATAAGCATTTGTGTTCCGAGGAAAAATAATTAGTGCAGGCAAAACGCGCGCTCCATTATCCACCGATCAAAACTTTTCTAATTCGCTGGTAAAACTACTAGTGACCTTGAAAAAATAATCGAAACATGTATTTTGAAAGATTTTTACATGCTCTTTCCGACGGTGACCTTAGATTTTTCGAAAAATGCATTATATGGCCAAAAAAACGGCTCAAAAGTCAAGCGTATTTATACAAAAAAAACACTTTTTTGAGCTATAAGCATATATAGTAGGGTGATCCACTTTTTCAAAAATTTTTTGTATCTCGGGGGATCCATCGAAATCAGAAAATTTGAGGTTTAAAATGAATTTTCCCATAAACTAGAACTCAAAAAAATGATTTTAGATGGTGTCGATGGATTTTTGAAGTTTTAAAACGAGCTCCAAAAAAGAAGCAAAATCGGGCTATCATTCGATTTATTTCAAACTCTGTTTAGAGGGTAAAAATGATCTTGACAATACATTTTCTTATTTGTTTTTGTCAGCAGAATTGAATGCTGTAGTCAGTTTTGACCTAGGAGCACAATTTCATTCAAAAAAATACACATTTTCGATCGTTCTTTTTCGCAAATTCCGCAAAGTTCATTTTCGAGCGAGTTGCAAATGAACAGAAAAAATCTAGAAAATTTTTCGACACCACCAAAATTTAGGATTTTTCATGACAAATCAAATGGTATAAATTAGTATACACTTTGATATTATTTTAATGCAGAAAAATATAACTTTATCCCAAAAAACGACATTACGAAAAATTGAAAAATCGAAAAGTGTATTAGTTTCTTTCAGGAAATGGCTAAGTAGAATCAACTATGGAAAAAATTGCATGGAACTATCTGATAGGTTTTTTTTCTCACCTTTACAACGCCGGTTTCAGAAGTTAAAAATTCGCAAGATTCGCTGAGATACAGCTATTTTTGTACGATGCATTTTTTAGGCTTTGAATTCAATAATTCTGAGCTAGCTCTATTCATTAAAAAACCAGCGAAGCAGAATGTAAGCTAAGCTTACAAAAATAGCTGTATCTCAGCGAATCTTGCGAATTTTTAACTTCTGAAACCGGCGTTGTAAAGGTGAAAAAAAAACCTATCAGATAGTTCCATGCAATTTTTTCCATAGTTGATTCTACTTAGCCATTTCCTGAAAGAAACTAATACACTTTTCGATTTTTCAATTTTTCGTAATGTCGTTTTTTGGGATAAAGTTATATTTTTCTGCATTAAAATAATATCAAAGTGTATACTAATTTACACCATTTGTTTTTTCATGACAAATAAATCCTAAGTTTTGGTGGTGTCGAAAAATTTTCTAGATTTTTTCTGTTCATTTGCAACTCGCTCGAAAATGAACTTTGCGGAATTTGCGAAAAAGAACGATCGAAAAAGTGTATTTTTTTGAATGAAATTGTGCTCCTAGGTCAAAACTGACTACAGCATGCAATTCTGCTGACAAAAACAAATAAGAAAATGTATTGTCAAGATCATTTTTACCCTCTAAACAGAGTTTGAAATAAATCGAATGATAGCCCGATTTTGCTTCTTTTTTGGAGCTCGTTTTAAAACTTCAAAAATCCATCGACACCA